AGGCTAACTATGTGCAGCGAGGCTAACTGCATATAGCTCAGCTAACTGCATGCAGCGAGGATAACTGCATGCAACCAGGCTAACTGCATGTAGCTAGGCTAACTGCATGTAGCTAGGCTAACTGCATGTAGCTCGGCTAACTGCATGCAGCAAGGCTAACTACATGAAGCGAGGTTAACTGCATGTAGCTCGGCTAACTGCATGCAGCCAGGCTAACTGCATGCAGCGAGGCTAACTGCATGCAGCTCGGCTAACTTTATGTAGCTAGGCTAACTGCATGTAGCTCGGCTAACTGCATGTAGCTTGGCTAACTGCATGTAGCGAGGCTAACTGCATGCAGCGAGGCTAACTGCATGTAGCTAGGCTAACTGCATGTAGCTCGGCTAACTGCATGCAGCGAGGCTAACAGCATGTAGCTCGGCCAACTGCATGCAGCGAGGCTAACTGCATATAGCTCAGCTAACTGCATGCAGCGAGGATAACTGCATGCAACCAGGCTAACTGCATGTAGCTAGGCTAACTGCATGTAGCTAGGCTAACTGCATGTAGCTCGGCTAACTGCATGCAGCAAGGCTAACTACATGAAGCGAGGTTAACTGCATGTAGCTCGGCTAACTGCATGCAGCCAGGCTAACTGCATGCAGCGAGGCTAACTGCATGCAGCTCGGCTAACTTTATGTAGCTAGGCTAACTGCATGTAGCTCGGCTAACTGCATGTAGCTCGGCTAACTGCATGTAGCGAGGCTAACTGCATGCAGCGAGGCTAACTGCATGTAGCTAGGCTAACTGCATGTAGCTCGGCTAACTGCATGTAGCTCGGCTAACTGCATGTAGCGAGGCTAACTGCATGCAGCGAGGCTAACTGCATGTAGCTAGGCTAACTGCATGTAGCTCGGCTAACTGCATGCAGCGAGGCCAACTGCATGCAGCGAGGCTAAGGCTTTATTCTGCCTCCTTTTTCAAAGGTCAGGATCTGATCCAGCCTGGATAAAGACGGCTAGGACTGATTTAAAGAACTTTATAGAAAAGGCAAAGAAGAAGAACAATCTGGGATTCACATGGAAAATATTAGAATATAGTCTAATTTTTCTAGATGTTTGTTTTTGGAGGCACTAGTGGCTGATTTTTTCAACTGTAGACTGACAGGATAGGGGGTATGAGAGAAATGCGGCAAACGACCAAAGGTCAAATTCGAACCCGGGTTGGCCGCGTTGAGGTGTAAGGCACATGCTTCATGCGCGCTAACCGGTGCACCACCTGCACGCCCCTTTTTCTCCATGTTTGTTAATTTGCATATTTTCTCTTAAATAAAGACATTCTCAGAAAATAAATATTATTATATATTAAAAATATATAAAGCTGACTAATAGCTTCTCCATTATTAAACTGGTACATTAATTTTTTAGGTTTGTGACTCAATATCGGACCATGGAAAACACAGATTTACCTTCACAGCCTCAAAAGGACCAGATTTATGGATGAGAAGTAAACCTGGAGATGAAATTATGTTTTTAAAAAGTGTTTTTATAATGTTTTTTGTTGTTGGCATTCATATAAAAATACTGGTGTGATAACTTAAGATACGTTTGATTGGTTTGTGGTATACGTCTGTTTTGAATTTCTTACAGCGTTCCCTGTCTCATCTTAACCGGTCCGGCAGAAGACCCCCATGTTGAGCCTGGTTCTGCCAGAGGTTTCCTCTCCACTGTCGCTTCATGCTCTCTCAACCTTCTTATCCAAGCTGGACTTCCATCTTCCAGGTTCCTGAGTGAAGCTCTAGTATCAGCTCACGCAGTCCACTGGATCTCCCCCTAAAGCTCAGCAGACCGTCTCTCTAACCAGCAGTCTATAGACTGACCAACTCCATCTATCTCCACTCCACCACCAGTTTCAGGCCGGGGGGGGAACAGCTCTGTTCTTTACTCTGTCATGCATATCTATCAGCGTTCTGCGCTATGTTTCCTGCCGTGGTCTGAGCGCCAAAGACTAAAGTCATTGCATCAATAAATTTCTTCTAATTATCTTTTCTCTTCGTGTGAGTTTTTCAGATTGAAATGTTTTACTGTTCGGATTTTATTAGTTTCGGGTCACAGATGGAGCAAAGACACGCAGCAGCATTCGGACGCAGCTTGAAGTCAGACCATCAGAGAGAAATCACTAAAATAACCCAACAGATTTAAGTATGATTGATGATCTATGAGACGATATAAGATGAAAAACTACAGCACAATAAAATACAGTTTAAACAACATTATGATGCTTTAATGTGTACGGAATATAAATACTGCCTGCAGCTCCACACCGGAAAAAATCCTAATCTAGACTAGATAAGTCATTTTTTGTTAAATTAAGTGCATTTGTTCTTTAACTGAGGAGATAAAAGATACATTTTGCCACTGGAACAGGACTATTCAGGTTTAAAATAAGATAAAACAATTGCATTGTTTTATTTAAAGTGCATAATATCTAATAATCTTATTTTAAGACTAAAAATACTCATTCCATTGGCTAATTATCTCATTTACCTACTCAAATTAAGGGTAAATACACTTAATTTAAGACATTTTTACTTATTTCTAGATCGTTTTTCCAGTGTAGAAAGAACTGAATCTAAATAAGTCACTTTTTCTTCAAATAGGTGCGTTTTTTCTTGAACTGCGGGGAAAAGTGAGACTCTTTATCAATGGAACGAGACAATGTGCATTTAAAATAAGAAAAAAACACATGTTTTATTATTTTAAGTGCAATATTATCTAATTATTTTATTTAAGAATAAAAACAATTATTCCATTGGCAGATCATCTTATTTACCAGCTCAAATTAAGGGTAAATGTAGTTAAATTAAGAAACTTTAATTTATTTCTAGCTCGTTTTTGCAGTGCAGCTGACGGTACCAGAACTTTTTGACCGTGATAATCCCTTTAATAAGAATAAACATTAAAAAATTCTGAAAGAGAGACCTTAATTTGTTTCTATCACTAATCTTTAAGGTTTTACAGAAAAACCTTGAATAGATGAGAATAAAACAGTTTAATTCTTTCAGGAATCAGAACTCTTCCTGTTTCTGATACTAAACACAAAACTAAAGCTAAATATTTCATCCAAGACGGAGCTAAATATTAAACCGGAATGTTTCCAGATTAGCAGGATGAGCCGATTCTCCCAAATGAATCTAGTTGCTTCATCTCTACGTGGTTCCATTGCTTTCCTGATCTCCTTCTCCTGCAGGACAGAAGGAGGAGAACATCTGGAGCAAGAATCCTGGAGGAATCTCCCTCTGCATCGCGGCGATTTAAACTAAAACAGGTTAAAGCATCAAAGGTTTTTACTTTTTTTACTTTTTTTAATTTATATATCAGATAAACCTTTAAAACTGACTGAAATTTATCTAATCTGTCACATTTACATAAAAAAAAGAGATAAAATATCACAATTATACTAAATTAATTCATCTAAAATATTTCCTGATTGCATTTGATGTTATATTGATTCGGTTCAAGGAACAAAATGATCCAAATCTGCATCATAACAGGAGCTTAAATTATAGATTCTTCAAAATAAAAAAAAGGCATAACTGGATTTGATGAAATCCACCCAGAAAATTAAATGTTGATGCTTATTTCTCAGGTGAAAGTTTATAAAATAAAACATAAATATTCTTCTTTCTGCAGCATATCTGTTTGTTTTTAATGATAAATAAAATAAGGCTGCAAAAAAATGACTGAGGGAAACATCTAGAAGGTCAAAGGTCGGCTTCAACGCTTCATTTCTTCTCAAAATTATTCAATTCAATAAAAATTAGATCAGTTCTACCTGCACTGCAAAAAAATTACTCTCAATGAGTGCAGTTTTTGTTGAATTAAGGAGGGAAGTGAGACATTTTGCCAATGGAACAAGAAAATTAAAATTTAATAAGAAAAAATAATTATATTGTCTTATTACAAGTACATATTATCTAATTATCTTATTTAAGAGTAAAAATACTAATTCCATTGGTAGATCATGCTTAATTTAAGACATTTGTACTCATTTTTAGGTCGTTTTTGCAGTGTGAAACTTAATCTTACCTAAAGCGCCTCTTTCTTACATGAATATATCAAATATTTACCTAAAGAAGGTTTTAAAATGCAGCTGAAGACAAAACAAACTGAGTCATGCCAAGCTAACAGTTTGTGACATTAGGAATGAATTTCCCAGGACCTTCAGAAATGTCAGCTTATGGAAATCAGGAGCTAAAAGCAGAAGTTTGAGCAGAAAGCGGACAAACGCACTGCAAAAGCGAACTAGAAACGAGTAAAAAAAGTGTATTTACCCTTCATTTGAGCAGGTAAATAAGATGATTTAGCTACCAATGGAATGAGGATTTATACTATTAAAATAAGATAATTAGATAATATGCACTTGAAATTTTCTTATTTTAAATTAAATGGTCTTGTTCCGTTGGAGAAATGTCTGTTTTATCTCCTCAATTCAAGAAAAATGTGCTTATTTTAAGAAAAAAATTATCTAGATTAGGATTTTTTTCCAGTGCAGGCGCAGCTCCTCTCAAGGACGTAAACAGGCCGGAAAGTGATGAGCAGCAGCCCCCAAAGAATCCGCTTCTACACAAACACTGCGGCTTAATTAACGGAAAGATCTGGGGGGGGGGATTGGCACGGCTCGGCTCGGCTCGGTTGCATAGGAACAGAGTCTCAGGAGAGGTTCGGAGCTGCGCAGGAGACCGCGCGCCTGGATGGATCCGCGTCCTGGTTCTGGTCAGCTCAGTTCAACCAAAACATTTAGCTTTTCTGCGCGTAAAGGTTTGATCCATTAAGACGGAATAGCTTTCAATAATTAATTGTATTAAAAAACGAAAATAAAATAGAAAATAAATTACATTTTTTCCAATTTCAGTTGATTTTCTTGAAAATCCAGGATGACCCAAAAGGTCAGAGTTCAACACGCGCCATCTCAGCCTCTTTATTAGCAGCAGACAGTAAAATAAATAAATCTTTACTCACATGTGAAAGTCCTGCGGGGGAAAAAGCTGCGGGTTTAAATCTCTTCCAGTCAGAACATCCCCGCTGCGCTGCGCCGCGCCGCGCGCCGCTCACTCAGCCTGAGAGGAGGCGCACAGCGGCGGATCCATGAGCGGAGAAACTCCGCGCTGCGCCGCCCGGAGATCTGCGGGGTAACAATCCAAACTCAGAGGAGAAACAGACAAACAGGAGCAGGAACCAGGAGCGTCTCCTCGGGGCTGTTGCGCGTCACTCCACCCGGGGAAGGAAAGTGCGCACCAGGGCTGCTTCACTCCTGCCGCTCCGGCAGAAAAACTCCTTTAACTCCAGAAACAAGATGCTGGGATCCTCCTCCTCCTCATTCAGCTTCTGCAGGTGATGAAATAACAAAGATTAAACTCCTCAGCAGCTTCCAGCTCTCCTCAGCTTCTCCTCCAGGAAGCAGGAGCCGCTCTGACTGGACTTGGAGCGCAGGGTTGGGTGCGTGACGGGTGCGTCCGTGGGCTGCTGGGGCTGTCCGACCACACTCCCCTCATCCCTGCCGCCTGATCGCCCCCAGACCGGGGAGAGAGAGAGAGAGAGAGAGAGAGGGGGTTGGGAGGGAGGAGAGTATCGCGAGGCTGCCACATAAATCCCGTTTTTGTCGCGCTGAGGTGACCGGGGGCGCGCGCGTTTTGGCAGGACGCGCTTTGGAGAGTTTGGGCTCAGAGTTTCTGAACATTAAGCAGAAACAGATGTTTCCTCTCAGAGCTGTTCGGATAGATCTGGACTGAATAGAAGCTCCACGGTCTGGGGAGACTTTTCCACCTCCTGCTGAAACATTTCAGGGGATGAAAAACAAAAAGAAAGAAACAAACTTCCATAACTTAACTGCATTGATTCATTGCTAATAAGTTAAAGTCATTAAAAAGTCTCAACCTGCTCCAGAATTGATAAAGCGGCCTTTCTGTGACCTTTGGTCTCCATCAACCTTCATCCCAGTCTGCACTTTATGCTTCATCTCATAACCTGAACATCTGATGGATAAAATGTTAAGTCTCCCCCTAGCGTCTGAGGACTGGAACTGATGCTGTTGATGGGATCAAATTTATCTGAAAGCTTTTCTTTAATGAACCTAATCAATTATAACATCATCTAGAGGTTCATTTCTACCACAGAGTATTAGGGCAAAGTTATGAGAACAAAGTCATACATTTATAAGAATAAAGTCATAAAGTTATAGGAATAAATCATTAAGTTATGAGAATAAAGTCATAAAGTTATAGGAATAAATCATTAAGTTATGAGAATAAAGTCATAAATTTATAAGAATAAACTCATAAAGTTATAAGAATAAAGTCATAAGGTTATGAGATTAAAGTCATTAAGTTATGAAAATAAAGTCATAAATTTATAAGAATAAACTCATAAAGTTATGAAAATAAAGTCATAAAGTTATGAGAAACAAGTTGTATTTTATGACAACTCTTCCCAGAATCCCTTTCTTCCCTAAAATGAGGAATGTGGAGCATCATGGGAAGTTCTACTTTAGCATCGGTTTGAAGAATCAGGAAATCTTTTAGCAGCAGCATCAAACTGGGCAGGATGTCAGAGTGGACTCTGGTTGCTGATTGGTGGAGCTGGTCGGCCGTCGTCTGCTGAGCGGAGCTCCAAGCTTTCTTTCTGAAACAGGTTGTTGAATGATGACTTTATTCTCATAATATTACAACTTTATTCTCATAATATAACGACTTTATTCTAGTAATGTTACGACTTTATTCTCGTAATGTCACAAGTATATTCTCGCAATATAACGATTTTATTCTCGTAATATAATGACTTCATTCTCGTAATGTTATGACTTTATTCTCCTAATGTTATGACTTTATTGTCGTGATATAACGACTTTATGCTTGTAATATAAGGGCTTTATTTTTGCAATGTTACAAATTCATTCTCGTAATGTTACCAATTTATTCTCGTAATGTTACGAATTTATTCTCGTGATATAACGACTTTATTCTCGTAATGTTACGACTTTATGCTTGTGATATAACGACTTTATTCTCGTAATGTTACGACTTTATTCTCCTAATGTTGCGACTTTATTCTCGTGATATAACGACTTTATGCTTGTAATATAAGGACTTTATTCTCCTAATGTTATGAATTTATTCTCGTAATGTTACCAATTTATTCTCGTAATGTTACCAATTTTTTCTTGTGATATAACGACTTTATTCTCGTAATGTTGCGACTTTATTCTCATGATATAAGACTTTATGCTTGTAATATAAAGACTTTATTCTCGTAATGTTACGACTTTATTCTCCGAATGTTGCGACTTTATTCTCGTGATATAACGACTTTATGCTTGTAATGTAAGGACTTTATTCTCCTAATGTTACAAATTTATTCTCGTTATGTTACCAATTTATTCTCGTAATGTTACGAATTTATTCTCGTGATATAACGACTTTATTCTCGTAATGTTACGACTTTATTCTCGTGATATAAGACTTTATGCTTGTGATATAACGACTTTATTCTCGTAATGTTACGACTTTATTCTCCTAATGTTGCGACTTTATTCTCGTGATATAACGACTTTATGCTTGTAATATAAGGACTTTATTCTCGTAACGTTATGACTTTATTCTCATAATGTTACGAATTTAGTCTCGTAATGTTACGACTTTATTCTTGTAATGTTACGACTTTATTCTCGTAATGTTACGACTTATTCTCATAATGTTACGAATTTAGTCTCGTAAGGTTACAACTTTATTCTTGTAATGTTAGGACCTTATTCTCGTAATGTTACGAATTTAGTCTCGTAATGTTACAACTTTATTCTCGTAATGTTACGACTTTATTCTCGTAATGTTACGACTTAATTTTCGGAAGATAATGATTTAATTCTTGTTAAGTTACGACTATTCGCAAAATAAATTTGAAAAATAATAAATCTGTAGCCTGGCCCGCATGCTCAGTTGTACATTTGAGTAAGTTAGCAAAAAAAACAAACGTTGAGTATTACAGTAGATGGTACGGGAAGAGTGCTGCATCTCACCATAATACTGGAAAACTGAGTGGAAGGAAAAAGTCCGGCAGGCAAAGGTGCACTGGAGATAAACACTATGAAAGAAAAACCGTTCTAGTTTGAAGAAGGTTTTTTTTAAAGTTCGGACCCCAGCGGAAGTCAGAACTTTAACAGTCAGCAGACAGAAGAATCTGGACTCCAACTTTCTATCCCCAGAGCTAAACCTCTTCTAAAGTGTAGATCACTGGGTTAATCAAGTCCAAGTCAGAGCAGCCATGTTTTAGAGCATTTCATGTCTGCCTCTGTGGAAAAGCCTTATAGAGATGTTGAGTCCAGCCGGATGTGCAGAAGAAAAGACTCACTACAGTATCCTGCAGAGGACATAATATTCAGAAGGTCCAACTGTCCATGATAAGATCCTTTGCTCTGATGTAACAGAAGAGCCTGTGGAATAATCTATTGAGTTTATGAGTTTTACATTAAAAACCTTTTTTCTTCTGTTTCATTACGTAGAGATGATAGATAGATAGATAGATGGATAGATAGATAGATAGATAGATAGATAGATAGATAGATAGATAGATAGATAGATAGATAGATAGATAGATAGATAGATAGATAGATAGATAGATAGATAGATAGATAGATAGATAGATCATCATCGTCTGTTAGGGTTTACAGCAGCGCCCTCGTGAGGTCATACTGCGCAGGTACAGTTTATTTAGTCGAATTAAACATATTTTTTCTCTAAATTTCCCTTTAAAGTATTAAAACTCTGCCAGGTTGAAGACATTTACCAAACGGCCAAGCTTTTATTTCATTAATAACTGTAAACAAAACATTTTTTGGTCATTTTAAAAATAAGGTAAGTTGGAATAAGTGAGGAAAGCAATAAAATACAATAATAGCTGCTATTAAAGTTAAATAGTCATTACTGAGCTTTATTTCAGTTGTTATTTTCCATTTTAGAAGATGTCCAAAATGATAAAACATTCATTAACTTGATAATTATTGGTTGGAGCACTTTTGTGATTTTGTTTCAAACTGTATTAAAGTCGTTATGACCAGAGGAGGACCCTCCGCCCCACATCTTTAAACTTCTGTCCTTCTGCCACGTTTTTCCTCATTTTCAAAGAAACCAGGGACGCTGGGAAGCTGTCCTGCAATCTGATTGGTCCATTTACAAGAGAGCCCGCCTTAAGACCCACCTCTGACTCGTTTCTAGGCTTCTGATTGGTCGAAGCAAGAATCCGTCACGGTAACTATGGACTTCGGCTTTGCTGGTATCCAAGTGAAGACGTGTTTTTTGGGGGGGAACTGGTCGTTTCATCACAGAGAGGCTGAATACTTTTAGCTTCAGCCACTTTCTGACGGGTTGGAGGTTTAATTTGTTGCTGTTCTGCAGGAAGTCAAACACCAAGGAAGCGAAGAAGAAATGGCGCAGAGAAAGAATTCCAAAAGTCACTCTAAAAAAGGTCAGTTTTTGGGCCTATTTCGCTCTGTTCTGGGAGCGCGATGCGCGCCTCCGTACGAAACTTCCTTAGATAAGTTGGTGATTTTAAATTGATTATTTTAAAACGATTGCATAAACATAAACAAATACGTTAATCGATAATGTTCTTTAGGTTATAAAACTCTTTATTTCGGCGTTTAGTTCTTTCTCGCAGAGGTTCGAGTTATTGTTTTTCCAGGCTAAAACTCTTCGCTTATTGGGGAGAAGAACAGTTTAAAAACACTTGAGACTTTAATGAAAATGTTAGAATTTTTTGATGCTGTTGACACCGAATTACTGTAATTGTTTTATTTTATGCTGTTCTTGTCGCAATTCCTATTTTATGTTCTTTATCCGCGTCATAATGGAGATTTTCTAAAATCAGACGTTTTTTGAACGGTGTCTGGTCGGGCGCTAAGCTAGCGTCGCTATCCTGTGTTTAGGCTGCAAAATCCCGGTTAGCAACCAATCAAAAATGGGTTTTGCGCTTTAATAAGGCGGGATATATACACACAAACCAAACATGAAGCTTTTTAATGATGCAGAATAATTTAATATAAAGGGAAAAAAGCAGATATCTGTTGTAAACATGCCTTGAGGGGCTGGTGACCCTCATTCACAGGTTTGCTGCAGCATCAGGATTTCCTGTGATGTGATTCCTCTGGTTTTCTTTACTATATCGGAAATCCTTCAATAAACACTGATCCCTATCATATTAAATTATTTAGATATTAGTCCTGATGGGGTAAGGAAGTCTGTTACTGTCAGGTTTCAGGACATTTCTATCAGTAATTGTCTTCTTTATGTCTGAAATCAGAAAAAAAAGTCCAGAAAAACCAAAACTGTCTAAAATCAGATTTCCTGATTCTGCTCTGAGGTCTAAACATGAAGCCATCCTGATCCTTTAGGCTGCTGGGCTGTGGTTCCTGCTCCATTTGACTTTCTGACCCCGTTTACCCTCATGTGTCATGGGAAAAAAGTATTCAACCATTCAGTCCAGTTAAATAACCTGAGATAGATGGATTTCACTCATTTATTATGTCTTTGCAAAGAGAGAACAGTTCATCATACGGCCATTATTGAAAGGTAATCATCCATGTTCAGTTTGTTCCCCTTTAAGAGCAGATTAGACTTCTGCAAACATCAGATGTCGCTTGGTTCTGGTCGCGAACCAGTTTTGCTGCTATGCTTCTGCACTGTCGCTCTGGAATTTCTCATATTGTGGAAATCTAAAGGATCTGAGGCAGGACAGCGGGCCTACTGGAGGGACTGGAAGCACATCAGGATCTCCAAGGTGGAGCTGAGGAGCGTCGCTGTTGAAAACCTTAAACCGTTTCTTTTAGCGAATGAATATCTGTGTTTTATTTAACTAATCTAAACCATCTCTGCTGTCATGGCAGCTCAGCGATTACCCAGGAGCCTCAGTGCCTGATGATAAAATCAGCAGAGAGACGCATCCCTGCAGCCTTGGAGGACGACTTGAAGGTTTTCCTTCTGCAGCAGCGGCTTACGTGTCTGCAGCCGTGACCTGGTGTCACACGGCTCATGAACACGGAGCGCTGAGTTCCCTTTTATCAGGCCTGCAGGAGGAAACCACATCTAGACCCAGCAGCAGCAGCAGCGTGTCGCCTCTAGCTGGGTTTCTCACCTCCAGAGGTGAGGAATCAGAGGAAGTGTCGCTGCTGCGGCCGCTGCTCTCTGTTAGCTTCGTTTTTAAAAATAAAATGCAGCCGCTTCACATTTCACCTTAAAGGCTGTTTAAAGGCTCCCAGTCCTTCTTTGATGCAGCGTTATTATGGTCAGATGTTATTTTTAACACCCGTTTATAAACGATGGGGTGGTTTCTAGAATCAGATGATCTACATGTCGGGTTAAAGCTGTGGAACCCTGGTACGGTTAGAGGCCAGCATGGCAGAATCCTCCCGCCCGGTCTGACGGTTATGCTGTAAACACGGCGTAGCCTGATTCTAAATAACAGCATGAGGGGAAACGGGTCAGAACTGATCAATTCTATTCAGTGTATTTCTATAGAGCTAATTCCCATCATGTCATCTCAGGTCACCTTCCAGTTCACCAGATCATCAGGTTGTTACAGGACAGAGACATTGCTTGGAGTGGGCTCAAGTCGTCGGCACACGATGGCATCAGGAAATTAACCCCCGAACATCTCCTGCTCCTTAGCTGTTCCTGTCAGGACCTGACACGCCATCCATGCCCTGACCTCCGTTCCTCTTGCTTCTTCGCCTCAGGATCACAGCTGGCTCTTCTTTATCAGTCTGTATCGTTATCCTGTGCTTGTTGTACAGACTGTCCTCGTTAGGTAGCCTCCGTACCCACAGTGTGATCCACCATGTGAAGGAAGGCCGTCCACCCCAGCTAATCTGGCTAACAGATAGCTAACACACACGACTAATAAAGAATAAACCTAAAACTAAAGTGGGAATAATTTGTCATTAAAGCTGTTTAGGGTTAACCCTGAGACTAAGATGTCCAAACAGAAACCTTTTCACTAAAACCGTTCTCAAAGAAATAATAATTTTCATTGCGATCACTGAGTCTGGGAGCGGCCATTTTTGCCCAAATCTAGTAACCCCCCCCTCCTGCCATCTTCCAGCAGTGACGTCACGGTGCGGTAAGCCTAGCGCCATTCTCCCCGCTTTCCAAGCTAAATCAATGGGAACTACTAGACACATCTGCAATCAACAACAATTATTGAAGATTTCCAGAGGACTTCACCATTGAAATTCACCAGAGCTATAGTGAAACTGACAATGCCCACGTGCATGGCAGCTGGATGCTGGAATACATCGGGTAAAAGTGAAAAAAAGAGTTATTCCACCTTTCTGATTCCTGATCCTCCACGGACGGGTTGGTCGTTGGATCGCCAACTTGAAGAGGGAGGATTTGCCATCGAACTTCTGGCCAGAGAAAAAACCCGTAATATGTAGCCAACATTTGGAAGAAGAATGTTTTCAAGATGACTTGGATAATAGCGCGTTGTGACAAACACCAGATACAGCACTGGGACTTGATCAACAGCCGATACCGCACCGTGACGTCACTAACCAGTAGGTGGCAGTAGTGTTCTTTGACAAACATGGATGCCTCCAGTAAAGCACATTCACATGGAAATTACTCTGAATTAAAAACACTGATCATTTATTGAACAGGATGGAATCATTTCATATTTAAAGAACTTTCAGAAGTTTGAATCCTGAATATGAGCGAATTTTCCTTTAAAGGAAGCATTACAATAAAAGAAAATAAAAATAAAAAATCATCTGGACTTTGTTTACAAGTTTGAAGACGTTTCTTTTCCATCCAGGAAGCTTTTTTAGCGTTTAGTTCCAGGTTTTATCCAGCAGCCCAACAAAGCCTGGTTTTAGTTTAGAAAACATGCAAATAGAAACGGATGAACGGGTCCCCCCCTTTGGAATGGGGGTCGTTTGGCTTCTTTGTTAGCCTGCAATGCCCCATACCTGTCTATGTCTCTGAAAGGGGGGTCGTTAGAGGGAATGGTTGGTCTAGATGAACAGGCAAGGTCTTCTGTTCTCCTGTAAAGGGGTTGGAGCTGCGATGAGAGCGGGAAGGAATCAACTCTATCGCTGCATTGGAGGTTTCTGAAAGAGTCTTGTCCAGAGGAGGGCGCTCTCCTGTTGTTGGGCCATGCTTCTGTGGAGAGGATGTTTGGTTTCTCCAATAAACCTCGAACTCATCGCTGTTTTTGCCATTTTGAATGAATGACTGAGAATCTTCCCCAGCATTAAAGCAGCTTTTAATTTAATCTTCTAATTAGATATTTTTAGCTGCTCCCTCACTGACTCTGGATGGAGCGGTTGGCCTGGTGATGTCAGCAGCCGAACCGATCGGTTGATCCAGTCTGAACTAGAATGAATGGAGGCATCCTTTGGTCAGACCGGGTCACATCCACCATCCTGGCCTCTGACGCTGAGGGTGTATGTAAATATTTGGACCTCTCCTTTTGAAAGGTGGGGGGTTGTTCTGGTTCTGTAACAGAGGAGGGGGGTCTCTGTGAGGAGAGGAGTCAAGGTCTCTGTGCGGGTCGTTCTGTCCTCTGGCAGAGCTTTGTCAGCTCTAATAATAGAGCGGGTCGGGTTCCCCACGAGGAGGGAGAGGAGGAGCAGCTGCCTGGTTCCCCTCTCAACTCCTCTGGAGGAGCTGGTTCTGTTTCACTCGGACCTGTTCGGCTCGGTGGGTCCATGCAGCGTCACGGGACGGCCCGCGCTGCCCCATCCTCCGCACCTCCTGTAGAGGAGATCCGTGCAGAGGAGGAGGAGGTGGAGGAGGTGGAGGTGTCACAGGGGACAGGTAGGTCAGACAGGCGAAGGTTCTGTCCAGTTCGGCTGAGCTCTGGGTCTGACCTTTGGGCCCGTTTAGGAGGCGATAGAGTGGAGGAGGTCCATCTGCCAGAGGAGCCTGAGCTCCAGAACCACGGTGAGCTCCGTGAGCCCAGTGCATGGTGTGGTTCTAGTCTGATTAACATCTGACTGCCATGGTTCTGTGTCCCTCTACTGGGTCAGAACAGCTAACCAGAACCTTCCCAGCCACTGTGATCGGTGGTTAGAACCCTGCTGATGAGGTTCTGGCGCCGGTTCTGGACCCAGACGCAGCGCTGCTGTAATTAGCTGCTGATATTTGGGGTTCTGGAGCAGCTGCTGTCTCCCTGTCAGGGTCGCTCTGATTGGCTGTCTCCCTGTCAGGGTCGCTCTGATTGGCTGTCTCCCTGTCAGGGTCGCTCTGATTGGCTGTCTCCCTGTCAGGGTCGCTCTGATTGGCTGTCTCCCGCTCTGTTCCTGGGTCGCCGTGACCGGCGGGCCGGTCCCCCTCCCCTCCCTGTTTCTCTTTATCTGAATGTTCCTCTGCTGTTTTCCGTTCTGATAAGCAGAACCACAGCTTTTTACTGGACCCTTCCCAGTGAAACGGGGAGTTTCCAGAACCCATCCTCCGCTGATTTCCTGATTTTAAACCTTCAGTCCATGTTTTGGTTGGAAACTTTATCTTTGAGGCTAAAGATCAACCGGCGCTGGTACCAGTTCAACTGGTTTTATCAACACTTTCAAAGTGAAACCAACTCAGGAGTTTAAACATGGATTCTGATTGGCTGTGGGCCTGTAGAAGCCCGCCCCCAGCCCTCGATGGAAGCAGGCTGTTCTGTGGAAACCCAATAGCTGGATTTATAAACTCTGTTTCTAAAAACTCTCTGCAGAAGCTGACGACCGAATAAGTGCTGTTTTCTTCAAATATATTTATTTTTCTATCGATTTGAGCCGATCAGACAATATACCAATAAAACCACAAGATTTATGCCTACAATAAGAATAAATATCTCCATTATTTGATTTCAGGTTAAATAATCAGATCCTGTTATGGGTTAATGTTAGCCGATTAATTAAGAGCAAACTCTTATATTGAAACTTTCTCCTTTTAACTGCTGTTTTTTTAGTGCTCTATAAAAAACAGCAAATATTTCTAAGTTTTGAAGGAAAATGTGCAAGTTTTCCCATGCAAGTTCAAATGATTCTATCGCAACCATCTAGTTTTATTTTTTCCCACACACTTTAAACGCATCATAAACTCCTCCTCCAAACAGGATGATTTTCTCGCACACTGAAGCAACCGCTAAACGCTAAATGGCTACAGCAGGTGTTTCAGCTGATAAATGGCAGCAGTTTGGATTTCACGCCGAGGACGTTGAACAAAAGGCGCTAATTTAATAAAACCAGAAAACATTCCTGCAAAAGGCAGCAGTACAGATTTATTCCACGGCCTAAATGAAGAATGTTGTAAACTCTGGATGTCTCCCAGCGCACCAATTTAAACGTTCAATAAATGCGATGGTGTATGAAAAATCGATCCCATATGAGAGAAACAGGAAGAGATGGAAGGAAATCACAGCTGATGTTTGTTACGTTATTTAAATGTTCATTAATTGCTCTAATACTCGTGATGTTCAGAGGTTTTACAGCCGTTTTCTATACAATTTTACAACTTTTTGTGCTTTAAAATTCCCATCCATGCTAAAAGTTTGGGGATAATGATCTAACTTTGGATTTTATTTTTGTAATTTGAGTTAAATTAAATTTTTCCTTCCGCATTTTTATTTTGCATTTTATTGAGTATTGTGTGTTTTTTGCTTTGTTTCCTGACTTTTGCTGGGATCTTGTTAAAGAAAAGCTTTGATCTGGTTTAGGGTTATCAAAAGAAGTATCGATACTGAAACGTTGTATCCGGATACAATACTCAATTTCAAAAGTATCAATACAAAAGTATCGTATATTATTGTTTTTTTTATTTATTTCTTGTATTTTTTTTAGTAATGAAAACATTTCTGTTGAGTTTTAGAGTCTTTGTTTTTATTCTTGTGGTATTGTAAAGGGTATCGAGTATGAATATTTTACTTGAAAAGTTTAGTATCGTGACCACACTAATCTGGTTAAAATAAAATGTTTTAACTTTGAAAAAGAACAAAACAAAAACAGTTTGAATTAGTTTATAAGTGCAATTTTTGCCTTCTATTGTTTTTGAAGGTAATTTAAACATATCGTGATAAATATGGCGTGTATCGCGATATCGCCCAAATATACCATGATATATATTGTGTATCGCGATATAGCTCAGCTATATCAGGATATATATAACGTGTAACGTGACATAGCCCAAATATATTATGATTTATATTGTGTATCGCGATATAGCCCAAATATACCATGATATATATTGTGTATCGCGATATAGCTCAGCTATATCAGGATATATATAACGTGTAACGTGACATAGCCCAAATATATTATGATTTATATTGTGTATCCTGATATAGCTCAGCTATATCAGGATATATATCATGTAACGTGACATAGCCCAAATATATTATGATTTATATTGTGTATCCCGATATAGCCCAAATATACCATGATATATATTGCGTGTCGCAATATAGCTCAGCTATATCAGGATATATATCGTGTAACATGACATAGCCCAAATATATTATGATTTATGTCGTGTATTGCGATTATAGCCTAAATATGTTGCGATATATATTTTGTATCGCGGTTATAGCTCAAATATGTCGCAATATATATCGTGTAAAGTGATATAGCCCAAATATGTTGTGATATTGTGTATTGTGATTTTGCCCAAACATATCATGATGTTAATCGTGTATCACAATACAGATCAAATATATTGTGATATATAGTGTACTTTGATATAGCTCATATATATCGCGATATATATAGTGTATCCTGATATAGCCCAAATATATCGAGACATTAGGTTTTCTTCGTATCGCCCAGCCCAACGTTATAATTAACTTCTCCTTTAAGCCCTAGGCAGGTCTTAAAGGAGCCCTTACTCCATCAGTCAATAAGCCTCCGTGCTAGCTCCTGATAGCTCATGATTATTTCACTCTAAACATAAACACTGACCAGTCGACAGACTCACATAAATTAGACAGATATGTTGCGCAATTAGTCCCAGTCAGAGAAACAGGACTACACTGGAAAACAGGCCAAGCTCCAACATCTAGAAACAAAGGTGTTGATGGCAGCAGCACAGCTGATATTTCTCTCCAGGATGGAGTGACAGCCAAACAGGAACAGACCAGATGAAGCTACTATGAGAAAAAGCAGAGAGAGCAGAACGTTAGAGATTGAACTAACAGATTCTGCAGAGAGGGAGAATAGAGATAGAATGAAGCAGAATGATGAAAAAGGGGTCCCTATGTCCTCCAGCAGTCTAAGCCTATAGCAGCAGAACTATAGAGATAGCTCAGGATAACCTGAGCCACTCTAACTAGAAGCTTTATCAAAAAGGAAAGTTTTAAGCTTTTGTTGCCTCTGGTACCTTTTCCTGTTTAAGTTAATTCAGCATCACTTCCTTCATCCTCATTTTAAGTGAATTTAACAGAACCCATTAATATTTATCAATGCGGTGGCTGCATGACATTTGGAAACCAGCAACAGGAAGTCAGGACTGGACCTCTGCACCTTCCTGTTTAGAGCCGAGCAGCAGCAGCATCTATTACCAGCCGCAAACAGTGAAGAGAATTAAAGTAATGAAGGTGATGACTAGATATTAAAACAAGCATCAGGAAATGATGCTTTACTTTAGCAGGAAGCCATCTGGTTCAGTTTGCGAATTTAGAGCTTTATCTGGTATGTCAAGCTTCCTGAGACTGAACATTTAATCTGGAAGATCTGAACTTGTTATATTAAAGTTAAATAGGAAGAAGAGGAGCTTTGACTGCGTCCAGGTCGGCATGGCAACAGCAAAGTCCAGTCATGGCTTTAAAGGGTCTGAATGACATCAGCAAAGGTTTATTTCTACAGGACAATTCAGCACAAACATGAAATACAAGATAAAGGAAAATAAAAGCAGAAAAGAGCAAAGAAACAAAACATGATAAATGTAGGTAGTAAAATAAACCTTAAACTAAACAGATTATCTCCATCAGTCAAAGGCAGCTTAAACTAACGGGTTTTTAACTCTGAATTTAAAGAATTCAGGCTTTCAGCTCTTTTCCAGTCTGCTGGGAGTTTGATCCAGATCCATGGAGCATAGATGCTGCTTCTCCGTGTTCTACCTAACCAGCACATGAACAGGAGAAAACTGGGGTTAAACAAAAGGGCAGCTCTCCCCTACAAAAAACATCTAAACAGGTTTACATGGCAGAATGTGAACAACCCATTAGATGCAACAACAACCACAGAGGTGTACAGCACGGCTTCAGGTGATCACTGATCGGGCTGAGACTCAGGAAACAATTTCCAGTCTTAGAGGCGGAGCCTAAAACAGAGCAGGTGGGTGCAAAAAAACAAAATGACGTCCATCTTTGGGATGTAACAGCTTAGAGATTATTTCTACATCCTATAAATGGACCTTGGGGTGAAGGTCGGCGTTGTTGTAGCAGGCCGCCGTGTGGTCTCTCGTACCTTGAATTCAGGCTGCTACGCTAGCGTCACTTACAGGAACGGAGTTATCGCGGAGTTATCTCGGTTACCGAGCACAGTAACCGAGATAACTGTTGGTGTAGACGGCACGCTTGCTGAACCGGACCGCGCCAGACACAACCAAAGCGCGCTAAACTAGTACTAGTTCAACATTAGGGCTCAACGCGGTTCAGTGTACGGAACAAGGTTAGAATTCTGACTTTTTATCTCAGAATTCAGATTCTCTTTCTCAGAATTCCAAAAATTTTTTCTCAGAATTATAAAAAAAAATTCTCAGAATTCCAACATTTTTTTTCTCAGAATTCCAACATTTTTTTTCTCAGAATTCCAACGATTTTTCTCCGAATTCTGACTTTTTTTCCCTCAGAATTCTGACTTTTTTTTCCTCAGAATTCCGACGTTTTTTCTCAGAATTCCAACGTTTTTCTTAGAATTCCGACGTTTTTTTCTCAGAGTACCAACTTTTTTTCTCAGAATTACGACTTTCTTTCTCAGAATTCCAACGTTTTTTCTCAGAATTCTGTCTTTTTTTCCTCAGAATTCCGACTTTTTTTTCCTCAGAATTACGTTTTTTCTCAGAATTCCGATGTTTTTTCCTCAGAATTCCAAAGTTTTGTTCTCAGAATACGGACGTTTTTTCTCAGAGTACCGACTTTTTTTTCTCAGAGTACCGACTTTTTTTTCTCAGAGTACCGACTTTTTTTTCTCAGAGTACCGACTTTTTTTTCTCAGAGTACCGACTTTTTTTCTCAGAGTACCGACTTTTCTTCTCAGAATTCCGACGTTTTTTCTCAGAATTCCGACGTTATTTTCTCAGAATACCGACGGTTTTTCTCAGAGTACCGACTTTTTTTCTCAGAATTCCGACTTTTCTTTGAATTCCGACGTTTTTTCTTAGAATTCCAAGGTTTTTACTCAGAATTCCGACGTTTTTTTCCTCAGAATTCCGACGTTTTTTTCCTCAGAATTCCGATGTTTTTTTCTCAGAATTTTGACGTTTTTTTCCTCAGAATTCCGATGTTTTTTTCTTAGAATACCGACGTTTTTTCTCAGAGTACCGACGTTTTTTCTCAGAGTACCGACGTTTTTTCTCAGAGTACCGACGTTTTTTCTCAGAATTCCGACGTTTTTTCTCAGAATTCCGACGTTTTTTCTCAGAATACCGACGTTTTTTCTCAGAGTACCGACTTTTCTTCTCACAATTCCGACGTTTTTTCTCAGAGTACCGACTTTTCTTAGAATTCCGACGTTTTTTCTTAGAATTACGACGTTTTTTTTCAGAATTCCGACGTTTTTTTTCCTCAGAATTCCGACGTTTTTTTCTCAGAATTCCGACGTTTTTTTCCCAGAATACCGACGTTTTTTCTCAGAGTACCGACTTTTTTTTCTCCGAATTTCGACGTTTTTTCTCAGAATTCTGACGTTTTTTTCTCAGAGTGCCGACTTTTTTTCTCAGAGTACCGACTTTTTTTTCTCAGAATTTCGACGTTTTTTCTCAGAATTCTGACGTTTTTTTCTCAGAGTACCGACTTTTTTTCTCAGAGTACTGACTTTTTTTCTCAGAATTCAGAGTTTTTCCTCAATGAAAGGTTTCAGAGGGTAGTGGAAATGGGGCCCATCTGCCCTCTGACCCCTGGGCTCCTGTAAAAACGACTGAAATTACTGCTATGGAAATGTTAACCTTGTGCGCTGAATCCACCTGGATGGACCTGGTTCAGTCAGAACCAGATCGAGGCGGACCTGGATCAGGTTTAGCTTCGTAAAAAATCTTCTTAAAACAACCTTTGGATATTAGATTAATTGAAAATGATCATTAGTTGCAGCCCTAGTTTCTACCCAACATGATGCAGCGTTGCTGCGAGGCCACCTTACCGTGGCTGCAGAAACATCTCTGGATAAATCTGATTGATTTAATATTAAGGGTAGAAATGATCATGGCCTCTGATATAGAAAAAATGTCTTTATTTGGTAAAGAAGTATAATCTGGGTGTAGCATAGAATAAAAAATAAAACCACCCCAGGAGGGGTCCTTGAGGAGCCCCACGGGTCCAGGATCTGCAGCTGAGGAATGGGTCTTTATCTGGATGGATGGAGGGCCATGACCTCTGACCTCTGCTGCAGCGTGATTTCTAACAGGACATTTCTTCATTCAGCGCTTCCTTTAATCTCCTGCTTTTATTATAAATATATCTTAGATTAGATTAATATTAAACAAGTGTAGAAGACGGATTTGGTTTTATTTCCCTCTGAAGAAGAGTGAAACAACCTGGGTCGGTCCCGTTGTCCCGGGAAACGGGTCACAGCAGAGCAGAACTTAATGTAAATGGGAAGAGTAAAGATGTCAGAGGTCCATCGGACCTGAACGGAACCATCGGTCCGTTTAGAAAGGTCCGACTGGGTCTTTGAGCAGCACAGGTTGACAGCAGCATCTTCATGTCTGCAGAGGGAAAGACGGCTCCTCCGGAGCAGAAGAACGGGAAGAGGAGCGACGGAGGAGCTGCAGGAGGAGGTGCAAAGTTCTCCGTGTTCACCTGGGTGGTGGTTCTGGCCCTGCTGGGCGTGTGGAGCTCCATGGCTGTGGTCTACTTCGACATCGTGGACTACGACAACGTCATCGGTAAGAAAAAGATAAAGAGACCTTGGTTCTGATTGGTTCTGAAGAACCGGATGTCCTAGTCCTGGGAAAAACGAGTCCACCAGGTGATCCAGTAGAACCTCTTTGGACTTTGACTAGGCCAAAGCAGCAGACTGGTTCTGTCCTGGGCCTCTTGCTCCTGTCGGTCCAGGCGGCTCCTGTCCGTCTGAATCCAGGTGGACTTGGTTTTTCCCGGACCGTCCAGATGTTCTGTGGTCAAGAATTCCTGCTGCTGACCTTTAACCTCCTGGCCTCTTCATCCCTCCCCTCTGCTCCTCTTCCTCTGCATGCAGCGAGGGCTCAGGAGTTCCGCTGGAACTTTTCTGAAGTTCTGCAAGGTATGAAAGCTTCCATGTTACTCTGTCAGAGGTTCTGTTTGGATCAGAACCGCTGGTTCTAGGTGTCCGTCTGACACCGTGTTGGATCAGAACCGACCCACAGAGGACGGGCTGCAGGAGAAACGGGCTTATGCTGATCTCAGGTCTGCGGTTCGTCTACAGACAGGAAACTGTTTCTTCAGTTGCTTTGGTTCTGAAATAGAGGAACCGACCCAAACTGCAGCCAGACACTCCAGAACCGCTTCCTGTGTTGGTTAACTTTATGTCTGCAGGAATCGTCAGAGAAGGCCTCAGCGATGGCTCCTAACATCCATTAGAACCGTCTAGACGGGCCTGGATCAGTCAGAACCAGCTACAGACGGGCCTGGATCAGTCAGAACCAGCTACAGACGGGCCTGGGTCAGTCAGAACCAGCTATAGACGAGCCTGGGGCAGTCAGAACCAGCTATAGACGAGCCTGGGGCAGTCAGAACCAACTATAGACGGGTCTGGGTCAGTCAGAACCAACTATAGACGGGTCTGGGTCAGTCAGAACCAACTATAGACGGGCCTGGATCATTTAGAACCAGCTATAGACGGGCCTGGGTCAGTCAGAACCAACTATAGACGGGTCTGGGTCAGTCAGAACCAACTATAGACGGGCCTGGATCATTTAGAACCAGCTATAGACGGGCCTGGATCAGTCAGAACCAACTATAGACGGGCCTGGATCATTTAGAACCAGCTATAGACGGGCCTGGATCAGTCAGAACCAGATACAGACGGGCCTGGATCATTTAGAACCAGCTATAGACGGGCCTGGATCAGTCAGAACCAGATACAGACGGGCCTGGATCATTTAGAACCAGCTATAGACGGGCCTGGATCAGTCAGAACCAGCTACAGACGGGCCTGGATCATTTAGAACCAGCTATAGACGGGCCTGGGTCAGTCAGAACCAACTATAGACGGGCCTGGATCATTTAGAACCAGCTATAGACGGGCCTGGGTCAGTCAGAACCAACTATAGACGGGCCTGGGTCAGTCAGAACCAACTATAGACGGGTCTGGGTCAGTCAGAACCAACTATAGACGGGCCTGGATAATTTAGAACCAGCTATAGACGGGCCTGGATCAGTCAGAACCAACTATAGACGGGCCTGGATCATTTAGAACCAGCTATAGACGGGCCTGGATCAGTCAGAACCAGCTACAGACGGGCCTGGATCATTTAGAACCAGCTATAGACGGATCTGGGTCAGTCAGAACCAACTATAGACGGGTCTGGGTCAGTCAGAACCAACTATAGACGGGTCTGGGTCAGTCAGAACCAACTATAGACGGGCCTGGGTCAGTCAGAACCAACTATAGACGGGCCTGGGTCAGTCAGAACCAACTATAGACGGATCTGGGTCAGTCAGAACCAACTATAGACGGGCCTGGATCATTTAGAACCAGCTATAGACGGGCCTGGGTCAGTCAGAACCAACTATAGACGGGTCTGGGTCAGTCAGAACCAACTATAGACGGGCCTGGATCATTTAGAACCAGCTATAGACGGGCCTGGATCAGTCAGAACCAGCTACAGACGGGCCTGGATCATTTAGAACCAGCTATAGACGGGCCTGGGTCAGTCAGAACCAACTATAGACGGGCCTGGGTCAGTCAGAACCAACTATAGACGGGCCTGGATCATTTAGAACCAACTATAGACGGGCCTGGGTCAGTCAGAACCAACTATAGACGGGTCTGGGTCAGTCAGAACCAACTATAGACGGGCCTGGATCATTTAGAACCAGCTATAGACGGGCCTGGATCAGTCAGAACCAACTATAGACGGGCCTGGATCATTTAGAACCAGCTATAGACGGGCCTGGATCAGTCAGAACCAGCTACAGACGGGCCTGGATCATTTAGAACCAGCTATAGACGGGCCTGGGTCAGTCAGAACCAACTATAGACGGATCTGGGTCAGTCAGAACCAACTATAGACGGGCCTGGATCATTTAGAACCAGCTATAGACGGGCCTGGGTCAGTCAGAACCAACTATAGACGGGCCTGGGTCAGTCAGAACCAACTATAGACGGGTCTGGGTCAGTCAGAACCAACTATAGACGGGCCTGGGTCAGTCAGAACCAACTATAGACGGGCCTGGGTCAGTCAGAACCAACTATAGACGGATCTGGGTCAGTCAGAACCAACTATAGACGGGCCTGGGTCAGTCAGAACCATGTAAAGATGCCCTGGGTTCAGCCTGGTTCTGTTTCTCATGACATTTCTGTGGTTGCTGCTGGTGTCTCTGAAGGTTCAGGCTGACAGACATCACAGTCATCCTCACCACATCCTTCCTCTTTGTGCAGCACCTTCTCGTGCGGTTTGCCCTCCTCCTGCATCACGTCTCAGCGAGTCGGATCAGTCCAGCTTCCATCAGCAGCAGATCCGCCGTCCTTCCTCCTCCGTCTTCTCACCTTTCTCTATAAACCGTCTGCAGGTCTTTTCTTCAGCTCCTCCCTGCAGCTTTTCTCACAGAATCAGATGTAGGTTAAAACCCTCCGACAGCTTCGTTCATCTACAACACGTGTCAAACTCCAGGCCCCTGGACTAAACGGGTTCATGTTATTTTAAAGTGGTTAAACCAGCTAAATAAATGGGAGGAGATTTATAAAAGCAGAGCAGCTCTCAGTAAATGAGATGATGAAATAATGAGAACTATTTATATGTTAGGACAGAGAAACAAACTTCCACTGTTCCACTGCAGATGTCTGTCCGATTTTATTCTTCCTTGAGTTCAAATTTGTGTTTTTTTGTGGTTTATGTTTCCGCAATTTCCCAGTTTGTTATTTATAATGTCTCACTTTAACTGGTTACCATGATCCCGTGTGGTTCGCCGTCTGCTTTCATCTCAAATCTGCATCTAACTCTAAACACCCTGTGCTCCAGAGGTGAATGTTTTATTTGTCCTCCTCTGCCTCCAGGGAAACTAGCTGCCTACGACACGGACAACGACGGAGACTTTGATGTGGAGGACGCCAAAGTTCTGCTCGGCAAGTCCATTTTCTGTTCTCTCTGCCTGATTTATCCAAAACCTCAATGGTTGCTGTGTTTTCCAGCATTAACCGATCACTGAGCAGCAGCTCATGGCTAACACCAAAGCTCAACCTTTAACGACATCTGGCAGTCAGACCTTTAAATGCATCAGCCCTCTGGTTCTGAAGGTCTAGATTTGGCCTCAGGACTTGGGTGACTGGTTCTGCTCTCGTAGTCTGTTGGAGTACATCTGGAACAAAATGGCTTCCAGCTTTTAAACTGTCTGAATAAAAAGCAAAGCCGGCTCATGCAATCAGTTTCAGGTTTAAGGTGTTTTTTACGTTTGCTAATATCCTCCCAGTATTTTACCAGTTGGTCATCAGAGTAAGTTTTCATAATCATGAAGAAAAACTCCACATCATCCAGGAAGCTTTTTCAATTCAAAATGTCAGAAATAGCGTTTAGTTCCAGGTTTTATCCAGCAGCCCAACAAAGCCTATTGGGCTGCTGGATAAAGCTAATCTTAGCCCTGTCCGCTGCAGACATGCTAACGTTAGCCCTGTCCGCTGCAGACATGCTAACGTTAGCCCTGTCCGCTGCAGACATGCTAACGTTAGCCCTGGCCGCTGCAGACGGGCTAATGTTAGCCTTGGATGCTGCAGACGGGGTAACGTTAGCCCTGTCCGCTGCAGACATGCTAACGTTAGCCCTGTCCGCTGCAGACATGCTAACGTTAGCCCTGGCCGCTGCAGATGGGGTAACGTTAGCCCTGGGCGCTGCAGACATGCTAATGTTAGCCCTGTCCGCTGCAGACATGCTAACGTTAGCCCTGTCCGCTGCAGACATGCTAACGTTAGCCCTGTCCGCTGCAGACATGCTAACGTTAGCCCTGGCCGCTGCAGACGGGCTAATGTTAGCCTTGGATGCTGCATACGGGGTAACGTTAGCCCTGTCCGCTGCAGACATGCTAACGTTAGCCCTGGCCGCTGCAGATGTGGTAACGTTAGCCCTGGGCGCTGCAGACATGCTAACGTTAGCCCTGGGCGCTGCAGACATGCTAACGTTAGCCCTGTCCGCTGCAGACATGCTAACGTTAGCCCTGGCCGCTGCAGACGGGCTAATGTTAGCCTTGGATGCTGCAGACGGGGTAACGTTAGCCCTGTCCGCTGCAGACATGCTAACGTTAGCCCTGTCCGCTGCAGACATGCTAACGTTAGCCCTGGCCGCTGCAGACGGGGTAACGTTAGCCCTGGCCGCTGCAGACGGGCTAACGTTAGCCCTGGCCGCTGCAGACGGGCTAACGTTAGCCCTGGCCGCTGCAGACGGGCTAACGTTAGCCCTGGCCGCTGCAGACGGGCTAACGTTAGCCCTGGCCGCTGCAGACGGGCTAACGTTAGCCCTGGCCGCTGCAGACGGGGTAACGTTAGCCCTGGCCGCTGCAGACGGGGTAACGTTAGCCCTGGCCGCTGCAGACGGGCTAACGTTAGCCCTGTCCGCTGCAGACGGGCTAACGTTAGCCCTGGCCGCTGCAGACGGGCTAACGTTAGCACTGGCCGCTGCAGACGGGGTAACGTTAGCCCTGGCCGCTGCAGACGGGCTAACGTTAGCCCTGGCCGCTGCAGACGGGCTAACGTTAGCCCTGGCCGCTGCAGACGGGCTAACGTTAGCCCTGGCCGCTGCAGACGGGCTAACGTTAGCCCTGGCCGCTGCAGACGGGCTAACGTTAGCCCTGGCCGCTGCAGACGGGCTAACGTTAGCCCTGGCCGCTGCAGACGGGCTAACGTTAGCCCTGGCCGCTGCAGACGGGCTAACGTTAGCCCTGGCCGCTGCAGACGGGCTAACGTTAGCCCTGGCCGCTGCAGACGGGCTAACGTTAGCCCTGGCCGCTGCAGACGGGCTAACGTTATCCCTGGCCGCTGCAGACGGGCTAACGTTAGCCCTGGCCGCTGCAGACGGGCTAACGTTAGCCCTGGCCGCTGCAGACGGGCTAAAGTTAGCCCTGGCCGCTGCAGACGGGCTAAAGTTAGCCCTGGCCGCTGCAGACGGGCGAACGTTAGCCCCGCCTGCGGTTAGCCTCGGGGCTCCACTGGTTGCCACGTTCCTCTTGACATCAGAACTTTTTTTAAATTACACCCTAAATCAGTAAATGTTCCATATAGTGAAGCTTAAAGTATAATATTCTCGCCTCAAATGATCTTAAACGTACTTTTATTGAACAACAGCAACAGAAAATAGAACTTTTAACTTAATCCTCTGAGCTCTGTGAGCGCTAACCTGGAAGCTGCTGCAGTGCATGCTGGGACAGCTGTTAGTCTGGAGGACGGACAAGTCTGCTCTGATGCATGCTGGGTAAAGAGGGATTGGCTTTTGCTGTTCTAGTGAATTGGAACAGTGCTGGGGCAGATGAGGATGACGTTGCACGAGGACACGAGAATGCACACGTACACATAAATAGAAACAGTTTTTATCTGTCTGAAACTCGCCATCAGAAAGAAGCAAGTTGTTTATAGGCTGACACCATCTATCTGCCCTGACCTGAGGGCTGACTGATGATGTTCTGCTCCCAGAAGTCGGCCAGCCATTATTTCCTCCTGGATGAGTCTCTGAGGAGGAGCTGGGTCTGAGGTGTGGGAGGGTTTTTGCTCAGACTGAGGATTGTGGGATTAGAAGTGTTGCTGGTTTCCTTTGATGTTGAGGTGGAAGCAGAATATTTCTCTGCATCTTCAGCTTTAAAGAACGATCCGATCTAACTCTGCATTCAGCAGATCTTCCTCAGTGATCCACGATATTCAGGTTATTATCAGAACCTTTAAAGGAGGTGAAGTATTGAGGTTCTGGTTCTGCTTGTGGAGCAGCTACCGGGTCACCTGACGAGACAGAGAAACTGTTTTTTTCTCCAATGTTTCTGGATCATCTTTAACTTTCGATCTTTCTCCCTCATTTTTCATTTTATTCTGTATCCTTGGTTTTTTTCCAATCATCCGTTATTCCATCCTCCCGCCTTCTTTTCTTCCATCTCCTCCTTTTTTCCAGTCCATCCCCATCTCTACCCCACCCTCCCACCTCTCTCTCGTCAGGCCTGACCAAAGATGGCGGCGACAGCGCGAATGGCGGGTCGCTCGAGGAGGTTGTGAACATTTTAGCAGAGGAGGGCTCTGATTGGATCTATGGCTTCTTCACCTTCCTTTACGATGTAGTTTCTCCCACCGGAGAGCAGGAGGAAGAGGAGGAGGCGTCAGGGATGAAGGAGGAGGAGAGAGGGACCTCCTCGGATGATGTGGAGGTTAAGGGGGTCATACTGGACCTGCAGAACCAGTAGAACGGGACACAGCGAACGGTTAAAGCCAGAGAAAAGCAGCGAGTCGGAGCTCCAGTTTGCTCTGACCGGGTTCGACCAAAAAACATGGCCGCCATTTCTGATCGTATGAGTTCAAAGGAAAAGCAAATAGTTTTTCTTTCCTTGACTTTTAATTTTAAAACATGTTTCTCTCCTGTTCAGAATATATTTGACTTTAACCTCAGAGAAATGATGCTAACTGATGCCTGCAGGGAAGCTCTGCTGGTTACTATCGCATTTTTATTATTTTATTGCTGATATTTAATTTTTAAAAACTATAATTATCAGTTATCTATAAAAGCTGCAGCCTGATCTATTGACAAAGATCATCTGAAAATATTAGCATTTAAAATGCCGGTAAGATTTTAATAAAAGGTCAAATATTTAATTAGGTTTTTTCATTAAGTTGGTGTGAAGTTTGGAAGCGGAGACAAATTTTTGCAAAAATACTGATTTATTTTATGTCTTTGGACGGAGAGATAGAGCTCTGACTGGGCAAAGCTCGGTGCTTTTATACAGCAATCTCCCATGGAACTATCCCATCCATGCATAAAGAACTTTCTCACACACAGAATTTGGTTATTCCCAAGAAAAATACTTCAATTCATCAAGGACATAAATTTTAGCCAGATAAACACTCAGAACAGGTCTCCTGTTCACGGCATGAAGGAGGCGTAGAACTCATTCCTGTCTCAACAAGCACCCCTATTAATGCAGAGAAATGGAACATTTAAAGTATTTAATCTCATAAATAGGCCAAGGAATATGGAGGATAAAAAGTGCCACAATTAAATAAATAAATACAGCATTAAATAAATAATTAAATGTGTCAATAATGAATTAAATGTGGAATTAAATAAATAAATGTGTCATTCATTAATTAAAACCACGTCACTAATATAAAGTGCCACCATTAAATAAATAAATAAATACAGCGATAAACAATAAATTAAATGTGTAATTCATTAAATAAATAAGGAATTAAATATATAAATGTGTCATTAAGTTAATAAAATATGTCTTCATTTTATTTAAAAAAAATATATAATTATTTCATGGTCCTGTGCCGCAGTGCATCGAAACCATTAATAGAATCTGTCAAACTCACCCATCAAAGTTAGGGGGCGGTTCTCTAACACCTGATTGGTCACCCTGCACATTAAGGCGAAGCAAATCGATTACAGAGACTCGATTCGCGTTAACCCCGCCCCCTAACTTTATTGCTAACATTCAGGACTTCTTCAATCTCTGTTTCTGCTCTCAGATCTGATTCTTCTTGCTCAGATAAACTGGTCTCTGCTAGAGTCTGAGATTCGCTCTCAAACCTGTCGCCTTTTGCTTACGGATTTGTTTCACTCCATCAGACTGGAGTCAGGTCGTTGCCTAGCAACCTTTGCAGCCAATAGAGCAGCTATATAATAGCTCCAATTCACATCATGTCATCTCAGGTCACTTTCCAGTTCACCAGATCATCCAGTCAGATTGATTCAAAGTTTTCTATCTAAGGAAAACCAGCTGATTGCATCGACTCATTGACTCTTCAGCAATCCCTCACACTAAGCATGCTTGTAGCGACAGTGGAGAGGAAAAACTCCCTTTGAACAGGAAGAAACCTCCAGCAGAACCAGGCTCAGTGTGAGCGGCCATCTGCTGAGGCCCACTGGGGTTCAAGGAGACAGA